ATGCTGATGGAAGAAATTAAGACCAAACGGAAAGACATACCATGTTCATGGATTAGAAGACACAATATAAATTAAGATGTCACTTATTCTCGAGTTGATCTTTAGAGTTAATACAATTCCAGAATTCCAGTCACAATCTCAGCAGGATTTTCTGGTATTTTTTTTTGTTGTTTTTTTTTAAGATGGAGTCTTGCTCTGTTGCCCAGGCTGGAGTGCAGTGGGACAGTCTCAGCTTGCTGCAGTCTCCGCCTCCTAAGTTCAAGTGATTCTCATGACTCATCCTCCTGAATAGCTGGGTTTACAGGTGCATGCTATCACACCTGGCTAAATGTTTCTGTGTTTTTAGTAGAGATGGGGTTTCACCATGTTGCCCAGGCTGGTCTCAAACTCTAGAACTCAGGCGATCTGCCCACCTTGGCCTTTCAAAGTGCTGGGATTACAGGCATGAGCCACCTCACCTGGCCTAGTAGGATTTTGTTTCTTTTCTTTATCTCTGTTTCTTTCTCTCTCTCTNTTTTTTTTAATGAAACGGTCTCACTCTGTCACCTAGGCTGGAGTGCAGTGGCGTGATCACGATTCATATACTTGACCTCCTGCGCTCAGGTGGTCTTCCTACTTTGCCCTCTTGAGTAGCTGGGACCACGGGCATGTGCTACCTTGCCTGGCTAATTTTTTTTTCTTCTTTTTTTGGGTAAAGATGGGGTCTCCCTATGTCTTTATGTTGTGCAGGCTGGTCTTGAACTCTTGGGGTCGAGTGATGCTCCCACCTCAATCTTCCAAAGTGCTAGGATTACAGATTTGAGCCACCCCATCTGGCATCAGCAGGATTTTTTTGTAAATATGGACTGGATGATTCCAAAATTTATATGGAAAGACAAATGAATTAACCAGAAAAATTATATGAAAGGAAAAGCTGGAGGACTCATACTACCCAATTTTAAGAATTATGACAGTATTTACGACTATAGAAATTAGTGAAACAGAAGAGAACATCTAGAAACAGACCCACACAAATATGACTAATTGATTTTTAACAAAGATTTGAAGGCTATTCAATGGGAAAAGGGTAGTCTAACAAATGGTGTTGAAACAATTGAATGTCCATATGCAGAAATGAACTTTGACCATAAGCTCACATTTTGTACAAAAATTACTAAAAATTATCTGCATGTAAAATGTGAAACCACAAAACTTAGAGGAAACATGAAGGAATTTTTTTTTTTTTTTTGAGACGGAGTCTCACTCTGTCACCAAGGCTAGAGTGCAATGGTGCAATCTTGGGTCGCTGCAGTATCCACCTCCTGGGTTCAAGCAGTTCTCCTGCCTCAGCCTCCTAAGTAGCTGGGACTACAGGTGTGTGCCACCATGCCTGGCTAATTTTTTGTGTTTTTGGTAGAGATGGGGTTTCACTGTGTTAGCCAGGATTGTCTCAAACCCCTGACTACGTGATCCTCCTGCCTCGGCCTCCGAAAGCGCTGGGATTACAGGCATGAGCCACCGCACCTGGCTGAAGGAATCTTTATGTCCTGGAATTAGGCAAAAATTCTTAGATAAGAATTTAAAAACATGATCCATAAGTAAAAAATAGGTAAAATAGGACTTAATCAAAATTTTAAACTTTTGCTCTGAGAAAAACACTCAGAATGGAAAAGCAACCTACAGATTGGGAGAAAATATTCACAAATTACATCTGACAAAGATGTATATATTAAGAGCTCTCAAAAGAAGCAAGTTTATATAACCCTAGTTTTAAATGGGCAAAAGTCTCATCAGAAAGACTATAGATGGCAAAACAAATTATATGAAAAGATGTTCAACGTCATTTACTTATTAAGGAAATAGAAATTAAAACCACAGTAGCTTCAAATACCAATTAGAATGGCTAAACTTTAAAAAATACTGATGGGGGCATGGTGGCACATGCCTGTAATCTCTGCTACTTGGGCACCTGAGGTGGGATTGCTTGAGGCCAGGAGTTTGAGTTCAACCTGGGTGATATAGATCCTGTTTCAGAAACAAAATTAATAAAAAATACTATATAAAAAGTACTGGTTACATATTTCAGAACATCATGTTGTACCTAAGTATGTACAATTTTGTCTGTTTTTAAAATAGAGATGGGGGGGTGTCTCACTATGTTGCCCAGGCTAGACTTGAACTGCTGGGCTTAAGTGATGCTCCTGCCTTGGCTTCCTAAAGTGTTGCTGTTCCAGGCATGATCCACCACACCCAGCCCAGCTTTTAAAAAGCACTAGTGAGGCTGTGGAGCAACTGGAACTCTCATACAATTGAAATGCAGAATGGTACAGCTACTTCAGAAAGTAGTTTGGTCATTTCTTATAAACACATTTTCCATAAGACCCTATAGTCCTATTCTTGGGTGTTTACCTTAGAGAAATGAGAAGCTCTATTCATATCAAAACCTGTACATGAGTGTTTTAGCATCTCTTTTTGATAACCATAAATTGCAGACATCTAAAATGTCCTTCAGTGGATGAATGTATAAACTATAGTACATCCTTACAATGGAATACTGCCCAACAACAAGAAAAAGTGAATTATTGATAGTACACCAACATGGATGACCTTAAAGGCATTATAGAGTGAAAGGAGCCAGGGTCAAGGCTGTATCCGTTAAGAAAAAAGTCCTACATACTTACAGCTTTTTTTTTTTTTTTTTTTTTTTAAAGGAGAGATAATCTTGTTTTATTGCCCATGCTGGAGTGTAGTGGCAAAATCATAGCTCACTGCCGCCCTCCAAACTCCTAGGCTCAGGTGATCCTCCCACCTCTGCCTCCTGAGTAGCTAGGACTATAGGCACACACCACCATGCCTGGCTACTTTTTTGTAGAGATGAATTTTCACTATGTTGCCCAGGCTGGTTTCAAACTCCTAGCCTCAAGTGATCCTCCTGCCTCAGTCTCCCAAAGCACTGGTATTACAGTTATGAGCCACTGGGATTAGTGCCAGGGTTAGGAGTCGGGGTAAGGTATGACTACAGAGGACAGCCAAGGCAGGTTTTTGGATCCTCATTGTAATGGATGATATAGGGTTCCACATGTGTTAAAATTCCAAACCAGCTGCCCTAAAAAAGTTAATTTTGTTGTATGCAAGTTAAATAGAATTTTAAAACATAGTAAGACCTGTGTGATTTAAAAAGTAAAAACTTTGTATCCAAGAAAGTAAGTATAGTTTATGTTTTTCTGCTGAAAGTGATGTATAAATGGATATGGTCATCTGAGTAAAATGAAGACTTTGTACCCTCCCTGGGCAGCAAGAACTTAACGGTTGTACCTGTGTATTCAGTGTTGAAGGACTTTTGATGTCAGTTGCCTTCTGTCCTGTATGGCTGTGCTCAGCATGTTGAGAATAGAAGCACCAGAGATTAGTACTTAATGGATTTCCTTGCTATTCTTCCCCTTGATCTGTGTCTCTGTACGTTCTTCCCTGTGAAGACCAAAAATACCTATGAACCAGCCGGGCACGGTGGCTCACGCCTGTAATCCCAGCACTTGGTAGGCCAAGGTGGGCTGACCTGAGGTTGGGAGTTGAGACCAGCCTATCCAACATGGCAAAAACCCATCTCTACTAAAAATTAAAAAATAAAAATTAGCCAGGCATCGTGGCACTTGTCTGTAATCCCAGCAACTCAGGAGGCTGAGGCAGGAGAATCAGCTGAACGCAAGAGGCAGAGGTTGTGGTGAGCCAAGATCGTGCCATTGCACTCCAGCCTAGGCAACAAGAGCAAAACTCCATCTCAAAAAAGAAAAGAAAATATCTTTGAACCAATTTTTCTTTTATTTTTTTGTTTGTTTGTTTTGAGACAGGGTATTGCTCTTTCTCCCAAGCTGGAGGGCAGTGGTACAATCAATGCTCACTGCAGCCCCGACCTCCCAGACCCAAGTGATCCTCCTCCCTTAGCCTCCCAAGTAGCTGGGACCACAGGCACACACCAACATGCCTCAACAGGTTTTTTTGTTGTTGTTTTTTTGTTTTTTTTTTTTTGAGAGATAGAGTCTCCCTATGTTCCCCAGGCTGGTCTCAAACTCCTGAGCTCAAGCGATCTTCCCACCTCAGCTTCCCAAAGTGCTGGGAATACAGTTGGACAATTGTAAGCTACCACACCCAACCAGCCTGCCTTTTTTGTATGGTGTTCTTTTTAAAGAGCCTGCGTCTCTCTGAGACAGGATTTGAGGAAGCTACTTTATTCTATCATGTAGCTTGAAATACTCCCAATTTTTTGTTGACTTTTTAATTTTAAAAAATGTTCATGTATAACTTCCTTGTAAATGTTCACTGTTATTTTTCCTCTGTATAGTCTCTTGAGGTTTCTTTATGGAAAACTCTTCCTCTCTGTAGCTGATGAGACCTTCCTATCTTATCTGGAACTTTGCCCTTTTTATTTGCTGCTTGTGAACGCCTGGGTTTGTCCGTATTTCCCTAGGTGCTTTAATTGAAGTTGCCAGCTGGGGTTTATGGTAGTGGGAGGCTTGTCTTTTCATTCTCCTACAGAACTGGCCTCAGGCCTTTGCGGAATGGAACTAACAGAATTCTGTGTTCAGCAAATCCCTTTTTTCTCCCCCTACAGTATATCTTCCCTTCCTTATTCCCTTACCCCTTGCTTTAAAGCTTTTGCATCCAAAAAGAACAGAATCAGTTGTTCTGGGAACCTGAAATTACGGGGACCTAGAATGACTCCTGTTGTCCATTCTGTCTTTCCTCAGGGGACCCTATTGAAATTGGCTAAATGGTCTGTAATCCAGGAGATCAGATTTTTCTCTATCATCCATATAACAAAAACCATTGTATTGTTGAAAATCGACTACCTTACAAACAGAGACAGCTTACAGTGGTTCACGACCCTTGAACAATAATGGTTAGTTTTTAAGTACAGGAATTTGATATAATGTGAGAGAAGGTTATTTTGATATTTGATATTCTGATTACATCTGTTATTATAAAAGTAAACAAAGGTTTTTTTCCCCCCCCCTCCTTTTTAGGCTGTCATTATTTGTATCAAAAACAAAGAATTTGAAAAGGCTTCAAAAATTTTGAAAAAACATATGTCCAAGGACCCCACAACTCAGGTAAATTTGATACATTTTTGCTCCTATGACCTAAATTCATCTCATTGCTTTTTGTGGGGAAACAGGGAAAGGGTTCTTGGTCAGGAATATTACCTAAATATTCACCTTTCAGCGTGTAATACCTGCAGCAAGTTATCTTTTATATCCAAGATAACTGACTGTAAAATTGACTTTTCAAAGTTTAGTTTTCATTAGAGAAGTTTACATAAATTATTCACAAAAATTACATAAATTATACATTTCTGTCTGGTTTATAACAGAACATTTATTTAAATGATCAACAACAGGTACTTAGCTGATAAATTTTATAACGCATATAACTTTATTTACATTAAATGTTGATCCTGCAGATGTGAGGAAACTTCTTTGGTGAGGACATAGCACCTGTTTCCTGGTGTCAAAAGTTCTGTCAATACCCTGCTTTTATTTTTTTCTTCTTCCTTTTTTTTTTTTTTTTTTTTTTTTTTTTTAAGACGGAGTTTCGCTCTTGTTACCCAGGCTGGAGTGCAGTGGCCCGATCTCGGCTCATCGCAACCTCCGCCTCCTGGGTTCAGGCAATTCTCCTGCCTCAGCCTGCTAAGTAGGTGGGATTACAGGCACGCACCACCATGCCCAGCTAATTTTTTTGTATTTTTAGTAGAGACAGGGTTTCACCATGTTGACCAAGATGGTCTCGATCTCTTGACCTCGTGATCCACCTTCCTCGGCCTCCCAAAGCGCTGGGATTACAGGCATGAGCCACTGCACCGGCGTCTTT